TTTTTTTCTTGGTGTCGCCAGCAGGTTCCTCTATTCCCGGAGAAACTGCAGCGGAAGAAGGGGGCTCCGGAGTGGTTATTTCTGGGGAGACCTCCGTAAGACCTTCGCCTCCAGCAGCACTTGAGGGAGGAAGCTGAAACACAGACTGTGGCTCCTCCGCCATCTTGCTCGGAGAGACTAGAGGGCGGAAGTAGCGACTGAGCGCAAGCAGGGGGCGTGCTTTTCTCCAGGGAGCGACCCAAAAGAGGCGCCAGAGTAGGGGTACCCAATTCCACAGTGAAAGTTGGAATTATGGGCTAGTCCTTCAAATCCAAGCTGTGGCAGACTGTCATCGTTAATAACGCAATGCGTGTTTCTCCGCGACAACAGACCTCAGGAGAGGAGCGTAGGCAACGTGCCAGTGCTCAGTCGAGTGAGCAGACACCCCTTAGGCAACTGGCTCGGACCCAGAAATGTTTCCGCTTTCCTCAGTGCCTGCCCCGCCCAAGCCCCGCCCCTCGGGCCCCGCCCAGCTGCTCGAGAGCGCGCGCGCGCGCGTGCGGGAGGGGGCGGGTGGGGAAGGATTGCAGGCGAGATTACTAGGCGAGGCTCGCGCGCCCGCCCCCGCCCTGGCCCCCAGTGCCCACCCGGTCGGCCCGGTACAGCCATGATCAAGGCGATCCTAATTTTCAATAACCACGGGAAACCGCGGCTCTCCAAGTTCTACCAGCCCTACGTGAGTATCCAGCTGCCGCCGATCAGGTCGAGGGGGAGTCGTTGGCGACTGGCAGCGCCCAGCGCGGCTTCCTCAGACCGACCCCCTCCGGCGCGCTGCGGCCCTTCTCGCACCCAAGCAGCCTGGCGCTTGCCCGCTGTCAGCCTCCCGGTGGGTGTGGACTGGGTGCCCACCTCCCTGCCGCGCGGTCAGCCTCCGACGTGGCTCTGCCCGGGCGGTTCCTCCGCCCGTCGGTGGGCTGCGTGCTTTCCCGGCTGCGCGGGCGAGGCCCTGGAGACTTCCCGGTGCCAGGGCCTCGCCGGCCCGGCAGCCGCAACCCACCTGCACTCTGAGCCCTGCGCCGTGGCCCCACTAGCCCACCCCGCGCGGTTGCGTTCCTGCCGCCAGCCGCTGCGGTTTGCCCAGGAGGAGGAAGACGGCGCGCAGCTTGTTCTTCTCGCCCCCTCCCCTGACTCCCAACCTTCCCAGGTGGACTTCTTTCTGTTTTGTGGACAGATGGGCTACTGTTTTTCACTGTAATCCTCTCATAGCGCAGGAACTTTGGCTTCCTGCGTTTGATAACTGCCCAACTGCCCAGTGTGACTTTCAGGTGTCTCCTCATTAAAAAGGAAGATAAGTGAGGACCTAATATTTTTATCAGACTTTTTTACCAGCTGGCTGCAAATTATTTACTCTCTAAATAACCGGTGACGTGCGCAGTTGACCGATTGGACTGTGGTTCTATACCTAGAAGTTGTGATTTCAGCTTCTGATTAGGCTTTTTTCCACGTATGGGAATTTGTCCTCATTTATAGTTTTTTTCTATTTATGAAGAATATTAGTATTTGTAGGACTTTTCTTTTAGAAGCGTGAATACTGTTTATTATGGACAAATGCAGGAGGCATTAAGGTAGTAGAGATAAGTGATTTATTGATGATCGAGGAAGGGTTTTATAGACTTACGTGCTTATCTGAGGGCAAAATTCACTAGCTGAAACACATAAAATTGGGCTCCCAGTGGTAGGATTAATGTGAGGCATAACTATTGTGTGGTATTGTGGCACTTTGCTTATGGCCAGAAATGAGCTTTCAATTCAATTTTGAAATTGTGCCAAGGCTAACACTTTTATGCAGATAAGTCCCAGATGGAAATCAATCTTGCCATTAAAAAGTAAATGGGAAAATGTCAGTTTGCCTAAAATGATAATGCAGTCTGTGGAGGTGTTAGTTGAAGTGAGAAATCTTGAGCTTATTCTTCATTTTTTTGAAGTTGTTTTGCTTTTGCTAGCAATAAAGAATATTTTCAGCTACTCCTGTGTGGTTTTAATTTAGTGTAACTTAAATATAATGGTCTGTTTAAAAATTCTACATCATTCTTTAATCCAGGTTAAATTCTAGCTGATCCTCCCGAGTGGAAAAAATGCTGTCAACTTTACCTATTTGTTAAAATATAGTAATGGCCTTTATTGAAGGAGTCTTTGTCATAACCATTTTGCTAGTGTCATCCATTTGCAGTGTAAAAAAGGTATGTTGCAATAGTAAAACAATTCAGAAAATTATTTTTTCCATATCTAAACTTAAGCAATATTCAAAATAGTGAGTTTCCTGGCTAATCTATATAATCAGTGTATACTACTCATGTAGTGTAGAATTTATCTACTGAAAAATGCATTTAATTTAGAAACTCAGGAATCCATCTTTCCCTTGTCCAAAAGTGGGAACAGAAATATTCTTTACCAGCGCTCACTAGGTAGCAGTGACAGTTAATGTGAGAAGTGGCAGTTCTGGCAGCAGTGGTGGCATTTTTGGCCATTGTATGAGTGATGGCGCTAGTGGGGGCAGGTAGCTAGAAGATATAAAAAGTAGAATCCTGGTGGTCACTAGCCATCTATAAGTGGGGTAAGAGAAGTTGTTTCTGTGTATTAGGTTTCTGTAAGTTGAGTGTTGCCGAGTGTGTATTTTTGTCTTTCAGGAATAATTTAAGATTATTTATTTACATATTTGCTTCCTCCACTAGACCATAACCTATTTGAGGGCAGATATTTTTTTCATTCACTGATTCCGTGAGTTTGCCAACAGACATTTATTTCATGCCTACCATGTGCAGTCACTATTTTAAAATCTGGAGGTGAACAGATAACTTTCTCTCTTGTAGGAGAAACATAGAGCTATTAAAGAGTAGGCTATATTATAGCATGCCAGCTAGTACTAAGTACCAGGGGAAAAAAAATAAGGCAGGGAAGAGTCTTAGAGAGTGAGAGGATGACAGTTTAAAATAGGGTAGTTAGGTAAATTCTCGCTGAGAAGGTGGCATTTGAGCAGACTTGAAGAGGGTAAGAAAGGCAGCCTTGCAGAGATCTGGGGGAAGAGCATCCCAGGTAGAAGGAGCAACAAACGCAAAAGCCCTGAGGAGAGAGCCTGTTTGAAGAACCCCAAGAACGTCTACACAGCAAAAGCAGACTGTTTAAGGGAACATTAGTTGGAAGTGTCTATTTGTGTAGGGTGTTACTCTATTCTTGCTGCCTGGAATGTCCTTCCTTTCCATTGCCAGTGTCCAAATTCAACCCCTTGTTCTAGGCCCAATGCAAGTGTCACCTAAACATTCTGTGAAGCCTTTCATCTTGCTCAGAGGCTCCTCTTGGTTTTTAGATTTTGTTTTTTATCTTTGTTATGGAAAAATATTCTCATTCACAGCCTGTCATTCCTCAGGGCAGCCATCCTATGGAATCCTCGAAGGAAGGTATCAGATTTTGGGTATGTTTGTGTCATTCCCAGCAGTCAACACCGAGTCTTGAACATAGAAAACTCTCTAAATCTTTGCTAAATGAATTTATTTAGAATCTCCTCACTTGGGATAGAGATTGGATTAGAATTGACTTACTGAATTTCCTTCTATCTCTTAAAATGTAGTCCTTCACTAACTAGAGGTTTTAAGAACCCCTGCCTTTAGCACAAAAGTAATGATGGAATACCTTTTACTCTGCTGTTTCTGTTTTAAAGAGCTCTCTAAGAAGTATATGTCCAATAAGAATAACAATTTTGAGTTTAATTTATTAAACAATATCTAGGGTGTGACTGAGCTAGCGATTCCATACTCTGGCAGGATGCTGAAGTTTGAGTCCAAGAGTAATGGTTTAACACTGAGCAATTTGCAGATTGTTGAACCATTTGCCAACAAGTTTATCCTACTGCATTTCATTTTCATTCCTCGTTTATCTCCCTTATAACAACTTATATATTCATGTCTGTCCTTTAACAGTATGCATTTCTATTTCATGCTGTAATAGATTTTTAGATTCAATTGTGGCTCCAAGCTGTTATGTGTAAGAAATATGAAGTTACACACCTGTTTTGCTAAACGGAAGTTTTGGTTCATTCTGCTAGAGTCAGACATTAAGAATTTCAAGTGTGGGCCAGGCGCCATGGCTCATGCCTGTAATCTCAGCACTTTGGGAGCTGAGGCAGGTGGATCACCTGAGGTCAGCAGTTCAAGACCAGCCTGGCCAACATGGCGAAACCCTGTCTTTACTTTACTAAAAATACAACAATTAGCCAGGCATGGTAGTGCATGCCTGCAGCTGCAGCTACTCGGGAGGCTGAGGCAGGAGAATCGCTTGAACCCAAGGAGGTGGAGGCTGCCGTGAGCCAAGATCATGCCACTGCACTCCAGCCTGGGTGACAGAGCGAGACTCCATCTCAAAAACGATAAAAAAGGAACGTCTGAAAAAAAGTAATTCAAATGTGGCTTCAGAATACATCCCTTTTTGTTTTTACCTTCTATATCCTTGGTCTATGACTGCACGAATTCGAATGTTTTTCTTGGTTTATCTTTTTAAATTGCTGCTTAGCTACAGTGACTTGGCAACAGTAACCTTTAGTCTTTTGATATTTGCCTGACAGTATTTGTGTATTACTGTAAGTAAGTAATGAGACTTATATTTTATAAACCAAATATATTTTTACGTAGCCATCAAACAAGAAAAAATCCCCTGGCTTATGATTCCATAGTGTATCCTCTGGTAAATTAGTTTAAAAAATTTTTCTGTTTTTATAGAGATAAGGTCTCACTGTGTTGCTTAGGCTGGTCTTAACCTCCTGACCTCAAACAATCCTCTCACTTTGGCCTTCCAAAGTGCTGGGATTACAGATCTGAGCCACCATGCCTGGCCTGTGAATTACTTTTGTAAAGTAGAAATGTCTTTCTTTTGTATGAATTATGTTAGTTGTTTCTGCATATATAAAATACTGTGTGTGCGTGTGTGCGTACACACCACACACATATGAAGTACAAGCAGGAAAATTTTCAAATTAACATATATATGAGTTACTTCAATTTTTTAATAAACTGTATTTAATTAAACTGTTAACCAAATGCAAGCCTTAGGAGGAACTCTAAGATTCTTCTTTCCTTTTTTTTTTTTTTTTTAAATTTTAATGTAAAATACAAAGTATTCAAAGTATATATAACTTATTTTTTCTTTTAAAAATATCCCTTAAAAAGATCCATCCATGTTCACTGATGTCTTTTTTTAGTGACTATTAAGACATTGTGGCAGATGGGTCTTAATTAAACTTATGCCTGTGAT